AAGATGTTCTGCTCCTGAATCAGCTGGGTGGGTCTTGCCTCTAGCCTCTTTGCAGGGAGTTCTGCTGAAGGGTTCCCTGCTGGGCCTGCAGCCTGGGTCAAATGAGGATCCACGGGCCCTGGGTCATCTCACTCAGTCGCCGGGCCTGTGCTCCTGGTCTGTTCAGGATCCCGCAGGCCCTCGGTCCTCTCACTCACTCTCTGGGCCTGCGTTCTGGGTCTGTTCAGGATCCCACAGGCCCTTGGTCCTCTCACTCTCTCGCCGGGCCTGGGCTCTGGGTCTGTTCAGGATCCGGAAGGCCCCGGGTCGTCTCACTCACTCGCCGGGCCTGCGCCCTGGGTCTGTTCAGGATCCCGCAGCCTGGGTCATCTCTCTCACTCGCCGGGCCTGTGCTCTCTGTTGGCTATAAGTTTTTGAGGAGAAAAGTTAATATGGCCAGGTCCTTTCTGGTTTTTTTTTTTTTTTTAATGGTATTATGGCAGCTGGATTTTCAGGAAACCATTATATGAAACTCTAGTTGTCTTACTCTGCTCAAGCGGTCATAAAAGATACCACAGACTGTGTGGCTTGAACAACATAGGTGTGTTTCTCAGTGCTGGAGCTTGAGAGGTCAAGGTTTAAGGTACTGACTCTCAGTGGCCAACTTCTCCGTTTCTCAGCATACAGAGCCTCTTCCACCCCCCTTCTTCACCAGTCCCATTATGAGGACCCTACCCTTACAATGTAACTAACCCTGATTATCTCCCAAAGATCCCATCTTCAGAGAGCACCACATTTGGGGATAGTGCTTCAACATGCAAATCTTGAAGGAACAGACATGAAGTCTGTGACATTGTTCGGTTTTGAATTACAGCATGAACATACTAGAGATTTTAAAATTCTCAATTTATACAATAGCACAGGGAATGAGAAAAAGGTCAAAGTGCAAACTGACAATAGCGTGAGTACCATTCTTTCAGATATTCTCATGGTAAGAGTACTGGGATAGGAGACAAATCACTCTGAACGTTGTATTGTAAAATGGAGGGCGTGTTCCTTAACAAGTGTTGGTAGGAATAAAATGAGTTCAGTTTTATACTATTTATGAGACATCTGTATAAGTGGCAATGTATGTCTGAAACTCCTAAGCTAAACAAAGACTTTTTCATGTGGAAATGAGTTACATTGTGATGTTTGAAGAAAACAACATAGATAATACCATACACGGAAAGAGTAAACAAGGGAAAAAGAAAAGGCTTTAATTTAAAAGTAGTAGTAGGAGAGAGAGAGAAGACAGTATGACTGTTGATAAATCAGTGGAATTGACTGAAAATAAAGAAAGTTGAGAAATTGGGGTAGTATTAAAAAATGAAACCAGTGGAAAGAATGAACTGAGTTTATAGAAAAATATTGAGTTAGATGAGCTAGTAGAAGGTATTTACATTGCTGACAAATTGTGTAGAACTTTTTGTGATAAAAGTACTTTCAAATAGAGTATTCATGGAGCTGGGGCTATAGCTCAGTAGAATAAATGCTTGCCTGGCAAGTACAGGGCCTGAGTTCAATCCCCAGTTGTGCAAAATAAATAAATAAATAAATAAATAAATTTTTAAAAACAATGCAAATAGAGTATTCATGAGGGGTTAGGGTTATGTAACACTTCTGTTAATAAGGTTTTTGCTAGTTTTATTAATATTTAAAATTCATAGAAAAATTGGGAAGAAGGTTCAGGGAGTTCTCTTATGTCTTTTGCCCCTACAGATTTCTACTACTTCCCTAAATCAACATTTCCTTACCAAAGGTTTATGTTTGTTGTAAATGATAAACCTACATTAATATATAATTACCATTCAAAATCTGTAGTTTACATTAGGATTTTGTCTCTGTTTCTGTCTTTATATGTCTGTCTCTTTCTTTCTCTCCCCATCTTTGTCTCTCTCCTTCCTGTCCCCATTTTTCTTGTGGTCCTAGGGCTCAAATCCAGGGCCTTAAGCATACTGCATAAGCATTCTACCACTGATCTATACCCCAATTTTGTAGGTCCATTCTTAGTGTGATATACTGTATGGGTTTGATATGTTCTACCTTCATATTTTTGTATAGTGTAGTTTCACTACCCTGAAGATCGTATATGCTTCCTACTCATTCCTTCCTTTTCCCTAATTCCTGACTCTAAAGCTTTAATATATTAAAACAGTTATTTGAATTTAGCATATAAAATTTGAAGGATTAATGGTAAATTTTTAAAACACATTTCTGTCAACTTGAACCACTAGTGGTACATGCACAACTATCCCAACTGGGTGGTTTGTACTACTGGTGGTACAAATCTAATCACTTTTATTGGTCATTTTACTAATAAAATTAATGAAAAGCCACTTGATGGGACAGTCAGGCATATACCAATGGTGGTTCAAGCTTCCTAGCAGTGAGACATATAAATTATATCCTTCTATGTAGTGTTAAGCCATGTATTTGCATTTCCAAAATGAAGTATTAAGTTATTTCTAATTTCTGTCTCTTTGCTTTACCACAGATAATTGGTCTTTTGAATGTTTTCACACCACAGAAATCCCTAGAAGAATTTCAAGATGTGTAAGTGTTGTAATTAGAATATTGTTAGTACAAAAGGCTGTTGGTACACTGTTCTTAGATTGTTGCTGTCCTTTTCTTCCTGTGAAGTTACATAGTCATGGAGCTCATGGATGCCAACCTCTGCCAAGTGATTCAGATGGAACTAGATCATGAAAGAATGTCTTACCTTCTCTATCAGATGCTCTGTGGAATCAAGCACCTTCACTCTGCTGGAATTATTCATCGGGTTAGTAGATAAACTCCCACCACAGTGCTTTTTTTTTATCATGGAGGTGAAATTCAAATAACAAATTAACCATTTTAAAGTATGCAGTTTAGTAGCATTTAGTCTATTCACACTGTTACACAGCTCCCATCTGTATCAAATCCTAAAATATCTTCATCATATCTTGCCCCAGACTCAATATTATTTAAGCAGTCACTGCTTGTTCTTCTCTTACTTAATCATCCTAATCTACATTCTCTGTCGGTGGATTTATCTGTTGTGGATCTCCCATATGAATGGAAGCATAAGATACATGACCTTTTATGTCTGGCTTCTTTCATTTAGCATAATTGTTTTCAAGGTCATCCATGTTGTATCACGTATTGGTACTCTTTATGACTACTATTTGAATATTATATTTTACTTACTATTTATAGCCATTTGGATTATTTCTGTCTCTTAGGTGTTATAACTAGTGCTGTTATGAAAATTCATGCACAAATATTTGAAGCTGGGTATGGTGGTGCCTGCCTATGATCCCAACACTTGGAAGGTTGAGGCAAGAAGAATGCCACAAGTTCACAGTCATCTTGGGCTAGCTACATAGCAAGACCCTGTCTCAAAAAAAAAGAGAAAAAAGTATTTTTTCAACATTGATTTTAACTTCCTCTCAATATATACCTTACAAGTAGAATAGCTAAGTTATGTCGTAATTTTGTGGTTCACTTTGTGAGAAGCCAAAGAATTATTTCCTGAAGTACCTGCATCATTTTGCACCCTCAGTAGTAGCATGCAATGTTCTAGTTTCTCCAGAGCCTTGCTAGTACTGTCTGTGGCTTTGAGTGTAGGCTTCCTAGAGTGTGAGGTGGTATTTCCGTGTGGGTTAAATTTGCATTTCCTTAACAACTAATAATCTCAGGCATCTTTTCATGTATTTGTTGGCAATTTGTCATCTTTGGAGAAATGTGTATTTAAGTCTTTTGCTTATTTTTTAATTTGTTTTTTTTTATTATGTTTTTTATAATTCTCTTATATTACATATAGTAGATCACACATTTTTCAGTGTATATCTCTCCGCCCTTTCAATAAGTTGACTTTCTACTTTTTTACGATAGTTTGTTAATATGTTAAAGTTTTTAATTTTCATGAAATCTAATTTTTCTTATTGTGTGTGCTTTTGTTGCCATGTAAGAATGCATTCTCAAATTCAAGGTCATGAACTTCTGTTTTCTTGCAAGAGTTTTATAGTTTTATGCAAGTCTTTCATCTGTTTCAAGTTCTAGTTTATATATGGTGTAAGGGAAGGGACCACCTTCTTATATGTATCATATGTGCTCTTATATGTAGAAATCCACTGGTCTCATCTCTGTCTGTCAGGAACTGTTCTTTCCCTCAGACAATGGCCTTGTTATAAACCATTCAGCCATCTCTTTGGAGTCTTATTTCATCAGTCTTTGTGTCTGTATGTATATCAGCACCTGTATGTATATCAGTGATTATTTTGATCACTGTAGTTTTTATAGTAAGTTTTGAAATGGAGAATAAGTATGAATTCCCCAACTTGTTTCTTTTTCAATGCTGTTTTGTCTGTTTGGGATCCCTAGTAATTGAATATGAATTTGAGGATCAGTCTTCCTGTTTATGCAGAAAAGGCCGTTGGCAACTTAATAAGGATTCTCCTAAATCTACATCACTTGATAGTTTTGTTCTCTTTAACAATATTTAGTGTTCCAGTTTGTGAACACAGCTTTCTATTTTCTTAAATTTTATTAGCCTACTTGGACTGTGTCTCAGTTACTCTTCTCTCATTGCTGGAACAAATACCAAGACACCAAAATGAAGGAACGAAAGATTTATTTAGCTCACAGTTACTGGAGGCTTCAGTCCATACTTGGCTGGCTCCAAGGCATAGTGGCAAAGGGCAGAGAGCATCCTTTCGTGGTGGTGGCAAAGAGCAAGCAAGCAAATGGGAGCAGTAGCATCAATAATGGCTACAGAGAGGAAATCTGTCTGTTTCTCTTACGTTACGTTCAGGCTATCTGCTTCAGGCTGGGTGTAGCACTCACACCCATTATCCCAGCAGTACTCAGACCCATAATCCCAACTTTGATCATGAATTAATTTCAAACTCTAGACATCCCCACCCCATAACTGCATGAGGCTTTGTGGGGCAACTAGACACAAACCATAACAGACTGCCATGATGAAATGATACAGATTGTGTAGCTTAAGCAACAGAAATTTATTCTCTCACATTCTAGAATTCTGTGGTCAAGGTGCCAAAATATTTTTGTTTCTCTTAAGGCCCCTGTTTCTGGTTTGTGACAACTGCCATCTTGCTGTGTCTTCACTTGGCCTCTCCTCTGTAACTGTGTGGAATAAAAATACTGTGGCATTTCTCTTATGAGGATACCAGTCAATTAGCTACCTCACTCCTTTGGCCCATATTAACCTTAGTTATCTCTATAAGGACCCTATGTTCAATTCAACAATGCCACTTGAAGTTTCGACATAAGAATTTTGAGGGGACACAATTCAGTCTTTGATGTGATATTCCTAATTTCTTTTGGCAGGGTTTCATAGTTTGGTTTGCAACAGTGGGGGTTGAATCCAGGGCTTTTGCACTGAACTACATCCCCAGCTTTTTTTTTTTTTTTTTTTTTTGAGACAGGAGCTCACTAGGTTGCCCAGGTTGGGTTCAAACTTGTTAGCCTTCTGTTTCAGCCTCCCAGAATGCTGGAATTATAGTCATGCACCACCGTGCCTGGCTGCTTTATAGCTGTCATTGTGCAACCTTTTCACCTTAGTTTATTTCTCATCGTGTTTCTCCTTTGGCAGTTACTATAAATGGAATAGTATTCTTCTTGTTCTTTCAGATTTATTGCTAGCTTATAGAAGCACAACTGATTTTGCTGTTGAGCTTGTCTCACAACTTATAAAAATTTATTGGCTCTTTTTAAATGAATTTAAATGATTTCCTGTATGAATTTAAATGATGTTTCTATATGATTTTGGATCATATCATCTGCATCTTAGCTTTTACTTTTTTTCATTTCAGTTTGGATGCTTTTTTAGCCTGGTACCTCTGGCTAGAACTTCCAGTAAAATGTTAACTAGAATTTATAAAAATGGACATCTCTTGTCTTATTTTTTAATATTAAGGAGAAGACTTTCAATCTTTACCATTATAGTAGTCTGTTTTCTAGTTGTGTAACCAAATACTCAAATGATAAAAGGGATGTATTTAGCTTGCAGTTTTGGAGGGTTCTAAATCCAAAACTTTGCCTGTTTGGCCTCTGATGAAGGCCTCTATCTGTGTCATAACATGGCAGAGACAGGGAGCCGACCATGCACAGAAGGGGCTGGGCATGTGAGGTGGCCTTGCCTTGTAGCAAACTAGTCTCAGAAGAGCCAACTTACTGCAGGCCACCCTTGGTTCCTCCTTGTGAAGTGCCCCAGTGACCTGACTACCTTGTAGTAGGTTGTACTGTCTCAGCAGTGCTGTGCTCACAATGAAATTTTAGCACTGGCCCTTGGGGGCCACACTCAAACTGTAGCTAGGCTATAGCAACTGCAAAGTGTGACATTGTGGAGTTTTTATAAGTGTGCTTTCTCAGGCTGCTTTTTCACTGGAGTTAGTCACATTGTATAGTGAGAATATGCTGACCTCACAGGTCTGCCCTTAGTAATTCATCAGCCACAAGGCCCTGTGTCCCCAGGACCACCATCACTCATGACAGCTGATGTGTGTTTAGTTGTCCCAACCAGTTCTTCAAGGCAGTCTGTACTTAGAATGAACACGGGACTCCCAGAAGCACCATAGTTGATCATTTGACAATGAAAGGATACAAAGTAGAACTAACAAAAGAAAAGAACTCACAGGGCAAAATCTAGGAGAAGACCAAACATAGGGCTTTCAGTAGTAGTCACAGAGCATGGCCAGATGCAAGAGTCCTGCACGGACCATGAGACCATGAAGAATACTGTGAGCCTTAGAGCATGGCAACATACAGAGTACTCAGCTGTGGACCAGGACAATGTAAGGAGTATTCTCTGCCACAGGGCACAAACTGAGTCTTGCCAGCATCAGAGCATGGTAACATACCGAGTACTTGGTACAGACCACAACAACACGCAGAGTATTCCTAGCCACAAAGCACGACAACATGCAAAGCACTTTCAGCTGCAGGCCATGACAATCTGCAAAGTACTTCCAGCCACAAGGCAAGACAAGATGCAAACTAGTGCTCACCAGGAAAGCTCACCAGACCTTTGGAGTCCAGTTTTTAATTTGGTCTCATTCATATCACTTTCCTGGTTGATCTTTAGTTTCTAGTCTCTCTTAAGACTCATGCTAATATTTTAAGGCTCCGATTTCTGCTGAAGTTGAATTGATGCATCCCAAAGCCTGACCATAAATCACACTATCAGCCTGTTCCATGGTCAGAGACAGTGTACTAAGCAGGATACTTAGGGGCTTAGCACCTGTATATGAAGACAAAGGTTAGACTTTCTTTTCCATAAGGTCATTCTTCACTATGTTTTTTGTTACTAGTTGAAATATTTTTATCATGAGAATATTGGTTTATTTTTCTACTTTTCCAATACTGTTAATTGAACCCTGAGACTTTGCACTGAGCTACATTCCCATCATTCATTTTTTTTTTTTAATTGTGAGACAGTATTTTGTTGAGTAGCAAAGCTGCCCAGACTGCACTTGAATTTAATCCTCCTGCCTCAGCCCTCTGAATTTCTGGCATTACAGTTGTGTGCAACTACACTGGCTGGGCTTTCTCAAATGCATTCTGCAGCAGTTTAAATGATCTTGCATATGTTTTCCCGGTGTTCATTATTAAACTGATATATTGCACTGTTTGATTTTAGGGGGATTGTTTAGTTTTGTTTTGTTTTAAGTATAGGAAGAATTTATTGAGAGAGAAAGCTTTTATCAGAGTGACAGAAGAGGGCTTGGATAGTAGGTTGCTTTTGTTTTGTGTTTTGAGACAGGGTTTTACTACGTA